ATCTCCTTTGTCCTTCCTTCCTTCTTTCCGTCGAATTGTTTCTCCTTGCCTCCCTTCTGTCCTCTAATCACCCTTTCCCGTTTTTCTCCCTCCGTTCCTCTGCCCTCTCAGCCTTCTCTCCGTTGTTCCTCCCCCCCCCTCCCAGCCCCCCTTGTCCTCTCCTCTTCCATTTAATGGTTCCTCCCTTCAACTTTTCCTTTTCTTTATCTTTCCCTCCTTCCTCTCTGCTTTCTTTTTCCTTTCTTCTCTCGTTCTCTTCCTCTCTCCCTTCCTCCTTCTCCCTCCCCCTTTCTCTCCCTCCCCCCTTTTTCTCTCTTCCTCTCCCCATCCATCCCATATCTCCGTCTCTTCCCTCCAATTTCTCCTTTCCTCTCTTTCTTCGTCCTTCTCTTTCTTCGTCCTTCTCTTTCTTCCTCCCTCCCTTCTCGCTACCCGGAATCACTTGCATTTCATACTCTGGTTAAAGACACGCACTTTTTTAGCCATGCAACTCGCTAATATGGGCCACGAACACAAAATATTTCGACAAAGGTTGAAATTTATTTTTTTCCTTGCTACTTAACAAAACTCTTGAGCAGGCATTTTCTTACAACATGGTACTTAAAAATTAAACATTATTACCTGCTGTCGCTTTGTTTCTTTTCGGGTCTGAACCGGAAGGAGAAGATGACGACCGTCGTCTCTTTCGAAGAGAACCATCTTCAACATCCGAATTGTCTGGATAAAATGACAAGAAATCGTACATACAGTTAAGCATATTACATTTCGTATTTCACTGGATAATTAAGAGGCTCAAAAAGACCACTTTCAGTTATCCTCTCAACTAGAATAGATCAAATGAGCACCAAAGTATGGGTTCATTGTTGGTGAAGAGTTAAACGGCATCTTTTATGCATAAAAACTGACCAAAACCGTCTTTGTTCAAATAGGTTGGCTCATGCACAGGCGGCCGGAGCGTATTGTGTGGATTTCGGGGTTTAAAGGTGATTAACGGGAATACCTGATAAATCAAATAAAACTTAAGAGTCACCCTATCGTAAAGTTTTCATGGTCAGGGAAGGAAGGGGGGAGGGGGAGGAACAGCGTGGGTGATGGAGATAGATAAGAAGCGCAAAGTGTACTTATTGATACCTCACTGGCTCCTCCCAGACTGAAAACGAACAGAGATACACACACGTATAGACAACAGATGCTTCATGCATATTCCACCAATAGCTGATAAAAGATAAACCAATCGCGGCAGAGAATCACGTCTTGTAGGTCGTGGGTAATCAGTCGACCACATCAATAACTGAAGACTAGCAGCATGCTGCCGCAACATGAGAAATAAACAATACTAATTCACATAAAGTAACATAAAGTATCATATATCAGAATTACTTACCTTCATAGTGGTGCCATTTCTCGAACGCAATAATGTCATTTAGCATATGCGCAACAAGTGAAGCTGCCATCACACTTGCGAATGGCCTCCAAGAATCAGTTGCTGATTTGCTACCATCGCCGAAGTCTGAAACTCCTTTGACAACTAACCATTCAATTCCATGGTTATGAGCGGCTGCGTAGAGACCTAAAGAGGAGTTGAAATTCTGTAAGAACACGATAAAACGCAGTGAGTTTGGAAAAACAGTGGAGGAACGAATTATAAACTTTGACGATTCGCTGCAATGCCAGTGCTCAGTGCTGTACGCAAACCTTCAAGGATTTAGGGGAACTATTTTTTTCGTTTCCTCCATATATTTGCATAGAGCGTCTACTTTAGCATATGTTTCACGTGTTATGTCATTCATTCCAGCATGCAAAGCCCAAGAAGGCAAAGGGCACGCTTTGCTTCCTTATCAACAAAAATACACAACAAACAAAATATAAAGAACTGCTGATGGCACGCAGCTCAAAGAAAAATCTTAGATAAATTATAACAACTTAAATAGATTACTTTTTTCTGCAATAGCGTCTATGGGATCTAGGGCTCTAAATAAGGTTATGGAGTACTTTAAACAATACCTTCACCCTCCATCTCGATGGCAGTTGCCTGGCGAAATCGGTTCTTTAATTCCCTTTTGAGTTCTGGGTTATCAAGCACAGTAGGGCCACTTAGTAGCACGCCATCATTGCGTACTGTCACTTTTAGGTCTTCTGGGTTTTTTAGAGGTGCTTTTCAACCTGCCCCGGCAAGCTTGATGAGTTTAGCCATACGCTGCTGTGGAGGAACAATTTCGCCGTGTTCTTCGATCCCGTTCTCCCCCACCCTGTTTAAAGCGCAGGTTATCAACTTGGCAGATACAATGACATCACCAAGCTTAGCTTTCTTCTCGTCCATGCTAGCACAGTAACCCACACAGATGACCGCTTTGGGCCTTAAGATTGGAACTGCTTCTTTGACTACAACTGTGGAGCCACCAGGGCTGCTGGAACCCATAAAGCATCTAATCACGGCAATTTTTAATTTTGAGCTATTAAACCCAAAATTCACAGGGCCGAGCTTGGGTTCATAACCCATCTTAATGTCGTCGAGAAAGGAGAGGCAACTTAGGTGTTCACATTCCTTTGCTGTTAACAGCAGAAAATCAACTGGCAACAATTTTTTTCGATGTCTTTCCAAGGCGTTGTCTTTGGGGGGAGATCCTTCATCTCAAGCACTTTCAATGTCTCTCTAAGTTCCGGAGGTTCTCTTATGCTCTCGCTTAGATTTCCTCTTTCACCGGCTTGGGTAGTACTTGCCATGTTTCACAATGCCTGAGAATAAACAAAAAATCCCTTGAATGCAATCTGACGGTGAGTTAGTGCCACTGATCTGAGTGACGGATGCCTCACTCAGGTTGACTCACTTACGCACGCGTATTAACTCAGTTAAGAGTGTGTCTCTGTAAGAGCGGTCCGGTCGATTTTGCTTGAGACACGGATTTCGCTCGTTTCTCGTGTGTTGTAAGACATTCATGTACCTATACTAAAACCACAATCAGTTTGATCAGATCTCTTTATTTTTCAGAGTTTTACGGAAATTAAATTTCACTCAAGCGAAGGCTTGTCGTGACACTTTTCAAGACTTAAATTTCATACAACTTTGGTGGACAATTTACAAAAAAATACGGAACTCAGCAAAAAACAAATACCCCAGCCATGTATATTAACTCTATCTTATCTATCGAGGCGACTTTCGTAAACATCACGTGTCAATCAAGGAAACAGGTAGACTTCAATGGCACCTTATCGGTTCGCCTAAATCAAACATGCCAAAACCGATCAAATTCAAAGTAAATTTTTGAAAAGTGAGGCGTTCTTAACTGATCCAACTAACATAGCTAGGAAGTAGTTGCCATAGAAAAGATAACTACAGAAAAAAAACTTTGCGGCCCGACCTTTACGAGAACTTTATAACTCCGTGAACTTACCTAATTTTCGGCAATCTCCAAGTTTGGCCGCCATTTTGAGGGACTTGTCAACATGAAGCGTAACCGATATGAATCAAGCAGGTAAATCTAAAACCGTCAGAAATATATAAGAAAGCAATTCAAATGAACTTTACTTTCAATTCAAGCGGCAAAATTTAAAATTGTTCGTTAAACTTACAATCCTCATGCGACCATTTCTTTCAAAAATTCAAACACTACAACTAGTGTTCGAATTCCCCTCGCCGATTCCACCGCAAGAAATAACCTGTGCCACCCAAGCCTCGACTCGAACATGAAGTACGAATCAAGTAACATAACTGCTTCATCTTCGCGGCCATATCACGCTGGTATTTTGATTTTCCGATCGACAAGAACGGTGATCAGGAATCGATCGGTTTGTTTACCTGGTAAACGTGACCGCTGACCAGCCGTAAGTGCAAACAGCATAGCGCGGGGTGGGGTGGTTGGCGGGCTTATCGTCATAAGATATTCGAATGCATGCTCAAAAAGCTCTAGGACTATCAGTCTGAACAGTGAAGGCATGCTTTGTGGTACAGACAACTTTTATTTTATTCTCATAACTTTCTCCTTAAATACATTTCGTTCCAAATAGGACTAGCATCAGTTCATAGATTTAAAAACAAATCTTTACCACGTAAATAAATGTGTTTAGATAATCGAGATAACCATTGAACCTCTTGTATCGCACCGGAAATAACGTGTCTTGTCTTTGCCCAACTCTGAGAGCGTGGAGCGGCGAAGACGCGAGATACAAGTCTCGCGCCTCGCGGATTCACCATGCTCACAGGATACGCGTGACCTCACTATCTTTAAGAAAAATAAGAGACTACTCGAAGTCTGTATTCCGTTCAACCATTTCATAAGAGTGACGCGAGTCTTTCAATTGAGTGAGAAAGTCACAAACCCATTCTTTACCTACGAGCGTAACCACTGACCACTCACGAATTACAGTAAGCTTCTCCTTTGACGCGGAAATTGAAATCGTATCGAATATACAAAATTATAATGAGTTCCTTTAGATCTACCGAACTTGTATCGCGTTGGAAACAATTACAAGTACAGGAAAAATTCGTTCACAAGCGAGACGTTTATTATGTCTCAGGACTGCTTTTTGAATAGCAAAGATGGAAAAAACTTTGGTTCATCGTGTGGCTTAAGTGGTTTGGTACGACTGTCTGAATGCTGATCATGAACTGATCAGAACAAAGGTTTTAGAAGGAGCCATGAAAACTCAAAGTTAACGCACCCAACCTTCCTGAAGTGTAGAAAAGGGATTTTTTTAATCATGATTTGTTTTAGTTTTGCCTCTTGCTGGTTAAAAAGCAGGTGGAAAAGATGAAAAAAAATGAAAAATCCTGAATAAGCAAAAGTAAATAGCTGCAACTCTGCACTTCCTTTCATACTGGGTTTAAAGCTGCTCTAAACCTCATCATTTGATAAGCTGCCACCTGTCTAAAGAGGTTTTTAAGGGAAAATGAGCTAATCTTGGCAAGGATTGGCCTATTTCAGCTCGCTCAGGAGGATAAACAAAAAAATGTGGATTTGCTATAGGCATCGCTACACTCTGGGGAAGTTTTGGAGAAGTGC